TCAAGGGGGTCGGTATCCAAAACCATAATAAATTACCCAGATACTAGCACCCCCAATGGATCCATGGGGAGTTGCTAAATGGCGGGTTCAGAAGAAAGCAGATTGCTTTCTAGAGCGTTTACGAACAGAAGCATCGTGATCATGGCTTCTTGAAATCGAAACTCGCCGGATTCATTTTCCAGCAGGCCAGTTTTACTGGCGAATTTTTTTCAATGCCCAGCATCCATAAAATGGCTTCAAATCGCAAATACTTATTTCTAGAACATGTTCGGCTTGATAATTGGAGTGCTTTTTTTCGAGCGGTGCTACCTTTCGAATACTTTGTGCTTTCGCATTCAAAGACATTGAAATGTATTGAGTTCTCGTTTGAGTGGTACTTTATTTTATTTTGCGATTTTCTTCGGTGCATTTGAAGCAACATTTGAAAAATAACCCCAGTGAGAAATTTGCCGACGTAAACTTCATAACGATATTTCAAAGTTGTGGGACAGAATGGTGAAGAGAAAAATAAATGCACTCGCGGCATAGCTCATGTTTTCTGTCCCAGTTCCACGAGCCTTTATCGACTAAAAAACATTTTTCTGAGCTTGCATGGTTTCAATAATGTGACGCAAATTGCGGAATTCAGACTTCCTTCTGGACCACCCGGTTTTTTGTGTTGAACTATTGAAATGTACGCTAACATTCCGACATATTCATTTCGACGATTTCCTTGACACGACAACGGGTTAAACGCCGATGTTTTTTCATTCTTGGAAAGGTCGATTCAATGCGCACGAGGAAGATTTAATTCGTTGATCAGAATTTGATGAAGGTCTCAGGAACCTTTCGAGGATTTAGAACTTAAGCTTCGCACAATGTATGCGTCAGAGCTGGTTATTGTAGAGCAGATCCTTCAGCAGCCCACCAAGACTTCTGAGAGAGGCATTCCATTCTGGAAAGCAGGAGCTGTCCGAAGCATAAAGGATTGCATTGACTGATGACCAGGCAATGTCGCATATCAAGTCTTTACACCGAGACGTTGAGCTACGAAAAAGGCGGTCTGCCTTTAGTCGAAGATTTAGTAATTGCCATCCTTCAAGTGTCGCTTGGCGTCGAGGCAGAACAAAAAAGAGAGGAACTAGGTCAAGTAAAGTCATGGGCGAGGGCAAGGGTGCCTCTTCAATCATGACCTGATGCATTTGGCGGGCTGGCCGTCGACAGCTGCCCAGTTGCACTGCCAAAATATGGAGCAAAACAATTTGCTTCCTGGCTTCCGGGAGAAAGATCCGCATAAACATGTCCACTGACGATGCGCGAGTTCCTGATTGCTTCCCTATCTTTCGGCCTTATACCAGTAAGCTATTCAACTGTGATAAATGATCTTTGGCAGATTGATACAATTATTTCCAGCATGCTTTGCGACTCTCGCATACGCGTTTTGCTTTCTTCCGTCGCTTGATTTCGTTCTCCAATCCTGTTACGTCGTCTTAGACGATCACTTTGTACGGCCACACAAATTGGTTTTCTCTTCCGAATGAATGTACATCCGCAGTATTTTTTTTTTATGAAAAATGAACGAGGAAGCTCATTGAGCACATCTTGATATGGGTTTCTATGTCTGGAAAAAAAGGATTAGCCATTATCCAGCCTGTCGCATGAATGGAAATTGGCTTCCTACTGGTAGTGCTGGGAAGAAACTTGAACAAGACGTTCGTTGTAAATTTAAAGCTAAGCTCAGAAGTTATTTTTTGCATCCTTTCTCTCAGGAGAGCATTTGCCATTCGCTCATGCATGCTGAAGAACAAGCTGAACAACCATTGAGACGTAAAACATCTCGTAAATCCCAGCGTTCCTGCTTTCCGAGGAGCCTTCCGGCAAAGATGCAACAAAATGCTTTTGGGTATTTGAAACCCTTTTCACCAACAAGCAATCTTCACTGGATCATCCAGGATGCATTTAACATTTGCTTTTCAATATTTTTCAAGTGTGACATTCCCAAGAGTTGGAATTTTCTTTGCGAGCCTGTGAGTATAGAAGGAGATAATATCCGGAACGAAAACATAAAAAGTACGGTGATAATTTCTGCGGATATTAGCCTTCTAATGCCTCTTAGGAAGCATCATCTTATAATGAAGGAAGATTTTGCCCCGAAATTAAACCCTTTCATATGCTATATTACCGTGTTCCTGGTAATGATTTCAAGCTTGGTAAACTAATCCGACATCTTACCATATTCTTCTACGACGGCGCACCAACTTTGTTAAGCTATTTAAAAAGCGAAATACTTTTTTATGGAAGGGTTCAAGAAATTTGTTGGCTAAGTTCATTTAATCGGTCCTCAGAAGCCACAAAAATTTGCGGATCCCCGAGATCTTCATCCTCAGTCAATTCCTCAGAGGATTTTTCTCCGAAACATTGATAGCTTGTACAGTACTGAACAGGGTCGATCTTTCTTTTGGTCAGTACTCGGAATGGAATAGAATGAAAAAATTCAGGAAGTGAATTACCTTTCGCATACAAAATTAAGCCTTTCATTTTAATGCGCTTCGAAGTCCTACTTTTCAGACTTCTCGTCGAATGAAATCCCCTCCTTGAAGACCTACCCGAAAATGTCTCTCCACAGAGCATTTCTGTCGTGTGATTGGTGGGATTTCTTTTGATTTTTGCCTTTACAGTATCACACAGTATCTTCAAATCACTCCCGATCTCAATTCGCATGTTGCCACTCGTCAAAATGGTGCAAAAACTTTTCCCCACGTCGCAGTTTCATGACACAGACGCTGCGATCAATGGAACATCGGTTGTGCTCTTTTCGTCAGAAATATGGATCATTCTAACTTTAAACCATGTTCAGGGGATGGTAATGATTTAAGACCGGTTGTATTTCGGAAGAAACGCACCGGTCGTGGAAAATGCAGGTAAGAACAGTTGTCATGAATTATGCGCGGAGGAAGATGACATTTCTCCCGAGTATTTTTAAAAACGCGTTTGTCGCGCGGGGACAAGACGAAGTTCAGTTCCCGGAACTTCCTGGAGACAAGAACGATGATAAGTGCTCGTCAATTGCACGACTTGATGAATCGACGTGGAAGATTAGAGAAGGGAAGGCCTCCGTGCCGCGCGACTTGGACACCGTCCAACCTGTTCGAAAACAAGGATTGGCAGGCTATGAAGAGAAGAAAGATTGTCACGGCACGAGGAAGGGCGCATTGCGGCAGTCATCAGCTGCGAAGGGGCCGTGACGCGAGGAAGAGCAGAAATCGGCGGAGTCTTCGTCGTAACTGCTTTCAATACTAGTCCGGGAGTCCGGGAAACGAAAAAAAAGATATAAATGAAATAAAGTGAAACCTCGTCGTTCCTGAAATTTCTTTCTACTCCATCAAACGCGGGAAAGAGTTTCATCAAGGCCTTTCTTTCATCCAGCAGCCGGCGCGGAAAGCTTTTTATGCTGGATGATGAATGATCACCACTATAGGGATCACGCCGGGAGAAGTGCGGGGGGGGGGGGGGCAGATGGATGACCAGAGGGGGGGGGGGGGGGGGGGGGGGGGGGGGGGGGATTTGCCGTCATAATCCCCGTAAAAATCCTGCGAGAGTAAGAAGTTTTTACGAGTTACCCTTTCGTCGCAGAGCGGGTTATTCCTTGAATTTCACCGTGGTCTATAGAGTCTCTAGACTAAATTATTTTCCTGCCTGTCATTTCCGATTTTTCTTCAACGGATTGCAGTGATGGATGTTATTTGGGACTGATTCACGCTTCATTGTCCTGCAATCCAGTCACAAATGACACGTGTGTGATGATCCTCTAAGCGCAAATTTTTTCGTTGTGGTGGAAAAGAATTGTCCTTGTTTATATAGGTCGATTGCAAAGCTTCATAGTATAAATTTATAGAATCAAGTTGCTGAAGTCATGCTATCAACCATAATTGTATTCCACGTGTGTAAATTGAAAAGATGGTTTAGTACAGTACTGTATTTGTTCTGTAGTTTTCTAGAATCTGTGGATGTTCCAATCGTTATATATTCCGTTTAACGGTTGTTTACTAGAGAGTAATCACATCTCGTCCGTTTCTTGCTTGCTTTGTGATAGCCTGGATGGAAAAAATAGTACTTTTACAGTAGTATTTGATGATTTTCTCAACGAAGTCCTCTTAATTCTTTTCTCGCCCTGGTTGAAATTGGAGGGAAAACGAAGTTGAAAGCGAGAATTCCGTCCCCGTAAAATAAGGAAACAATTGAGGGTAATAGGATTAGCATGGAATCACCGGCTGTCTAACTTCTTTCTAAAGTACAGTATTATTTCGAATTACATTGCTGGTATTTAAGAATCTCGATGACAAGGGGTCCACTCTAAACGTCGGCATATTCCAGTGAAAGCTATCATCGCTGAAAACTTAATGCTAGTGATTTTCAATGGGAATGTTCTTCGATCTAACTTTTTCATCAATGAGCTATAATGTATTCAATTTTAGGAAGAATTGGGAAATTAAAGGAAAATTTGCTAGTTTTGAGACAAGTTTAGGATCACACAGTGGTTTGGAAGATTCTGCCTCAGGTACCCATATAACCCGGGTTTAAGGTAACGTTAGAGCAGTTGTATTTTCTTCGCTCATTTACTCACCCAACGCGAATTTAAATGTAATTTATGAAAGCCATATTGGGTCGGCAAGAATTCTAACATACGATGGAGAAAGAATAGACATTCATAGCATATATTGAGTGCTCTGAAATCATCTGGAGATGAACCAATATTTTATCTTAAAAATGCGGTTTTGAATTGCAGTATTTACTGTATAATCCAAGCACTGGCCTCATTTTGCAAATGGTCAGCGTGTTCTAAGGGGGAAATACCCCTTAGCGGTTTCCATCAGTCGACGTGGCTGCTCGATTTCGAGCTGACACGTCTATTTGTGATCACGGATCTGCTCCCCATGATTCTTCCGGGATAGGAAAGAAGAAAACATTTTCCAGAGCTCTGACGGTAGCGATACGTTTGCTTTCCTCTCTCTATTTTCCAGATTCACAGTGCGACGGCGATATTCATCATCAATTTGAGCGTTTCCGACTTGATGTTCTGCTGCTTCAACATCCCGCTGGCAACGTCGTTATACATGAATCGCAAGTGGATCCACGGCGATGCTCTTTGTCAGCTGTACCCGTTTTTCCGCTATGGACTAGTCGCTGTGTCCATTTTCACAGTCCTCGCCATCACCATCAACCGCTACATTATGATCGCGCACCCGCGCTGGTATCGCACGTGAGTTCTTCGTTAAATTCTTCGATCAATCAAATGATTCAAACATTCGGAAGAACTTGACTTCGACGTGCATTTCCGATGCCGAATGCCCACAAGCAAACGGAAAACTGCAGCATATAAACGCTTGTCGTTAGTGAGCAGATCCATCAAAATGCCACCCATGTTCTCGACATATATTTTGAATGCGAATTTTATTCTCTGTTTGTTAGATCTGCGTAAATTTGACGGAAAGAACCATAGCTTCTATGAACATGCCATTCTGAGTTTGCAATGCTAATTTATTTATACAGGCGTACCGCTTTCACTTGATTTTCAAAGGACCAAATAAAAACATCGAGTTAGGGATGAGGTTTCGAGTTAGGGAAAGAAGCATTTTTGTTGATGAAAAGATACGAGAATTGGAGGAAATTTGAAATGAAAATGGGTCTTATATTCTCGACCTTAAATTGCTTCTTAATTCAATTATTGAAAGGATGTTGAAGTTGGAGACAAGGGTTAATTTGCCCAATATTAGTGTTTCCCGTCCTTCAAAACTTGAGAAAATTCGACTCTTGAGGGTGGCATTCGACGGGGGGGGGGGGGGGGGGGGGGGGGGGGGGGGG